GCACGTGCACTCACCAGACAGGCAGAGAGAGACAGAGAGACAGAAAGCGAGAAATCACCCCCCAGGGGGGATGGTCACGCTACAATCCCTTCTCCATTCTCCTCTCGGGATCTTGGGCACACACGCACATGTGCCCAGCGTGAGTTTTAAGCCACTGGGTCCGGGATGCGAACCGCGGTCAACTACGTGGGAGTCCAGTGACATAGTCATTATGCTAACTGCTGGTTCCCTATGCCGTATATTTTAACACGATAAAAACAAACTATGCCAGGTGGCATTATGCTGGTTAAGGTGCTGTATCCCACATAGCCAACTATGTGGTTAAAGTCCCAGATCCAGCAGCTTAAAAAAACATGCAGGTCATATATCTGTGCATGCCCAAATTCCCTGAAGGAGAATGGAGGAGAAGGGACTTAAGGTATGGCCATCCTCTAGGGGGTAAGTCTCACTTTCTCTCTCTCTCTCTCTCTCTCTCCATATATATATATATCTCCAGCGAGCACACATGATCCACAGCAAGCTAAAACAATCAACCAAAACTATGCAGAAGCCGTTAGTCTTTACTTAAAAAAAGAAATGAATTACAGATTTTTTTTCAAAAAGTCAGTTATACCTTAAGTTAAAAGCAAATTGAAGGAAGAACCCATAATTAATAAGTGACATGTTTGTACAAATAAGAACATGCACACCAAGGTGATTTAATATTTGTTTAATATACGAAGAGCTACTGAAGAACCACAGAATACAGTACATAGGTACATTTGACTCTTTAAAGAAGGACTTTAAATTTTAACCAGATTTGAGTAGCTGTTATTAAACTGCCATTCGACCTAAGTAGATTAACAGTACAATATTTCATAATGTACAACTAACATACTTTCCTGCAATTCTGTTTATTGCATTATGCTTATGTATTTCAGGATTTTCAGGTCTCAGCTGGAAAGGTAATCCTACCTGCTGGATATAGGATTCATTAGATCTTCTTACCTTAAAAAAAAAAAAAAAAGCAATAATAAAAACTCTAATACATTACTTATAGATAGAATGTATATTGTTTTTTCTTTAGAGTAAAAGCTCAGAATGGGTTATAGAATAAATACTCTTGGGCTTTGGAAAAGTGAACATAGAACAAATTAATGGAAAATCCTTATGTATGGATATTTGTAAAATCACAGTTTGAAGAAATCTTCAGAGTTCTCCTGGTTGGCTGAATGTCTAAAATAGTTACTTCCCCTGCCATGAAAATAAAGTGTTTATTCTGTATTCTATGTGTACACAGTGTTTGCTCAATAAACTTGTTACTCATGACTCATTACTTAGTTCAACAAAATTTTGTGGGGCCTTTCAGAATGATGATAATGGTAAAAACCCATCAGCAGAAGCTTTTAAGTGCTCAAGATATGCAAGCCATAGTTACAGACTGAAACTGTTGACCCCATTGCTGACAGGTATGAAAATTTGGACTAGGGAAAAAAAATGACAAAACAATCAGGAACATCAGGGACTTCAAACACTAGATTACTAGATAAAAGATTCCTGAAAAAGATTCTAAATATGTTTCACCCATTACAACTGGAATTCATGTTTTAGCAAGGTACATACCTGTAGCTAAGATGCCTAACAAATGTTTACATTGATTGAAAATGCCCAAGAGTAGTTCTTTTCTACTATCTTTCCTGTTTTTCTTTCCCTTAGCATTTTGGTCTTTTTTTTTTTTCCCCCTCCTTTGGCAGGTTAGAGATCCTGCTACATTGATCTAATTAGAACACTGACAAAATTGTACTCACTACATGGAATAGAATACACAAATGAAAAAATTCAGTTAGCAAACAAACTTGGAAGAATGTTCATTCTCATGAATAAAATGAGACTGATCACATAGCATAGTGGTTAAGGGAACTAGATCCCACATGGCTGGTCCCATTTCTAATCCCCAGAGACTTGAAAAACACACCAGGTACATGTACATACCTAGAACTTTGGCAAAATAGAGAGCTGGAGGAAAAGAGATTGTGGCATGACCCTGCCTCATTGAAGGAGTGCTTTCTCCCTCTCTCTCATTGTCTCTCTGGTGAGTGCACAAAATCCCCTGGCCTCTTCCAATCTTTGCTGTCCATCTCTATCTAGTACTATTCTCGTGTTCTTTGCATTCACACATGCATTTGTTCATTAATTTACCTAGCAGATACTGAGGGTCTGATCCTAGGCCTGGGAAAAAAGTGGAGAGCAAAAATCAAAAATAATGCCTACCCTTACAGACATTGGTATGGTCTAGCAGTGTAGACAGACATCGCCCAAAGTCCGCATGAGCAAATGTAAAATTACAAGAGTTCAATGTTATGATCATGCATGAAAGGAAGCGCCAGCTTTGAGGTCAGAGGGTACTTGACATCCCTGAAGAAGTGACAGTTTGAACCCAGATCTGTTGATGACTCAGAGGTTACCCAGATAAAGAAATGTGTGTTGGGACTGTCAGTCAAGACTGTACTCTCCCCTTTTAGAGGTAGACACACAGCACCCCCCCCCCCCCCCCCGCCCCCCCCCCCCCCCGCCCACCCCAGGCCATTCAGATGCTTTCCTGCGTGGAGGATCTTGTATGGTGTGACCTGAGGACAGAAAACCACTACAGCTGCTTGTGCTCAGAAGCAGTCCATGGGTTCCCACCTCACAGACTCTTGAATGACTTGGTTCCTGCCCTGTCCCAGTCATGGTTGCCTGCTTCCCCTTTGATATTGTAGGTTGCTCTTAGTTGTTTGTAATTCAAGAAAGAACCCAAATTTACAAAGAGTAGAGGTTCCTGGACAGAGGTTAAGCTAAAGGCCTCCTAGTGGGAGAGACCAATTTAACAGGCCCACCCAAATAGCCCCAATACCTAGACTCTTCCCTCTTTCTTACCCCACTTGCTCACTCTGTCTTCTTTTTCTGAATATTCTAACATCCTACCTTCACAGTTTGGTTATATATGTCTTGGTACATCCACATCCACAGTTTTGTGTTTTTAAGAAAGAATAGAGAAAGATGAGGGGAGTGGGGAAAAGAAGAAACAGAGAAAGGATAGGAGGGAATTGAAGGCACTGGGAAAGAAATTAAAAAAAAAAAAAAAAAAAATAATCATCTCCAACTCAGATATTTCTCCCTTATTGGAAAGTGAGGAGTCCTCTCAGCTCCCCAACCCCCCACTATGGCCTCACAAAGCCTGCCTTGCAGTATTGTTATGGGTCTGTCTGTCTTGGACCCCTGGTGGATAGGAAACTCCTCTGGGACAGAATCTTACCAAACTACTCATTTTCTTCTCCATGGTACCTGGGTCCTATTCCTTAATGTAGTAGATGCTAAAAAGATATTGGTTGTTTGACTGAGATAACTTAAAAAAAAAAAAAAGTTTCCACAAAGGTGGAGAGAGAATAGAAATTTAGTGACTTCTTAATTATACATTGATGGTGACCTACTAGCAAGGTCCCCTATGAATAACTTAGAATTAAAATTTAATTATTCTTTGAGATCTGTAATATTACCAAGATTTTTGAATCTTGATTTTTTTTGAACAGGTGTCCTAACAAGAAGTCATATAATGTGGTGAATATAACTCAGAAAGAACTGGATGCAAATTTTTGAGTCTCATCACCTACTGATGAGTAGTTCCTATAATCTTGTACCTCAACCACTCTCTTGTTTTTAGACATTACAATTATTTTTAATATTCTACTTTTTGACATAATTTTACAAATATAAATCTCAGAGAGGAAGCTTTTAATTGAATTTAGACTTGTTCCTTAGGATTGCTTCCATAAAATTATTATTTTTTTTCCTTTTTTGTTTTTTTTTGGAGAGGTTTTCGCTATAGGGTGTGTGCACTCTCCAGAGAGACATTTTTTTTTTTTTTTTTTTTTTTTTTTGCTATAGGGCGCGTGCACTCGCCAGACAGACAGAGAGAGACATAGAGACAGAAAGCGAGAAATCACCCCCCAGGGGGGATGGTCACGCCGCAGTCCCTCCTCCTCCATTCTCCTCTCGGGATCTTGGGCACACACGCACACGTGCCCGGCGTGAGTTTTAAGCCACCGGGTCCAGGACACGAACCGTGGTCGACTACGTGGGAGTCCAGTGACATAGCCATTACGCTAACTGCTGGTTCCCCATAAGTAAAATTATTATATATAAAAAAAATTATGGCTCTTGATATGCAGAATCAAACAGCTTTTCAAAAAGACAAAACTGGTTTTATGTTCCAACCAATAACATATGTGAATTCCCATAACATATTTTTATCAGGATTTTGTGAGGATTTTTTTTTTTAATTGTCAGAGGATGAAAGTGTTCACCAAAGAGAGAGAAAAAGCATTGTCTAACAGGACATAGTCATGCCTCAATCCTTTTTCTTCCTTTTCTCCATCCTGTCTGGATTTGGGACATGCATGCACAAGTGCCCAGCATGGTTATCAATATGCTGGGGCTGGATTTGACCCACTGTCAGCCATGTGGGATCTAGTTCCCTATACACAGCACTTAACCACTATGCTATGGGGCCAGCCTGTGAAGGTTTTGTTTTTAATTAATGGCTAAGTGGTGCATGTGATCATGAGAAACGGACAGAGAGAGAGAAGGAGAGAGAGAAAGAGAAGTAGAAAGTAGCCCCCAATGGGGCATGATCACACCACAATCCACTCTCTAATTCTCCATCCTGTTGGGATTCTTGGCATGTATACACGCACACCTGGTTTGTTTTTCAAGCTCCAAGGGCTGAAATTTAAACCACAGTCAGCCATGTGAAATCAAGTTCTCTTAATCACTTGACTATGGAGCCTGTACCTGTGGAGAATTTTTTTTTTAATTTGCAAACTTGATATAAAGAAAGTAAAATCTTGTCTGCTTTCATGTGTTTTTATTATTAATGAGATTGAACCTATTTCCCAGGCATTTTAAAACTAGTTTTGTTTTCTCCTTGTGTGGATTATCTATTCCCATCAACAAAGCATTTGAGTTTCTAATTGGCACTCTGCTTACCAAGCTTTAAAATGTTCCTTAAAATGCTGTTGAACTTTTGCCACCATGTAGTCAATGAAATTAGAACTCCCAGAACCTTCTTCAAGAGGGATCTTGAAGGTGAAATTAGAAAAAGGCAGAATGCTTAAGTTGACCATTGTTTCATCTTGTTTTGAAACATTTCCTTCCTGAACACTTGGAACTACCTATAGGAGAAAGATCATACAGTAAAAGATCACTAAATCCAGTCCACATTTAATATTAAATTAACATCACATTAGTGCATTTTTTTAAGGGACACCACCCCCCCACTCAGGAATCACTAGTCTAGTGCACTTCTTTTCTTTTTTTTTTTTTTGGAGAGATTTTCACTGTAGGGCGCGTGCGCTCGCCAGACAGACAGAGAGAGACATAGAGACAGAAAGCGAGAAATCACCCCCCAGGGGGGATGGTCACGCCGCAATCCCTTCTCCTCCATTCTCCTCTCGGGATCTTGGGCACGCACGCACACGCGCCCGGCGTGAGTTTTAAGCCACCGGGTCCGGGACACGAACCACGGTCGACTATGTGGGAGTCCAGCGACATAGCCATTATGCTAACTGCTGGTTCCCCTCTAGTGCACTTCTATATTAGCATTGTGTGTGTGTTTGTGTGTGTGTGTGTGTGTGTGTGTACGTGTGCACGAATGTATATGTTGGGGGACATATTTCAGGAAAGAAAGCCAGTCACTGTTGTATGTAATACAAAAAGCGTTATTGATTAAATATAAAAGTCATTGCACAGTTGTAATTTAAGATTAGAATATATGTGGGCCAGAAGATGGCATAGTGGTTACCTTGCTGGGCTCCCACATGGCAGTCTATGGTTCAAGTCTTGGACCTCGTGGCTTGCTTTCTCACTTTCTCTCTCACTCTTTCTCTCTCTCTGGCAAGTGCACATATCCTAAGGCAAAAACCTCTTAAAAAAAGACAAAGATTACAGTATGTGAAGATTAATGTATAAATATGTTTACTTCTCAAAATAACTGCAGCTTTTTCTGTCAAAAGCTAACAATAGTTATAATTTACAGCATTCTTGCTTTGTATAAGGAACCTGTACTAATCACTTGAAAGACATGCATTCTGAGGTAACCAGTAACATTCACATTTACAGGTGGAAAAGTGAAGGCCTAGAAAGTTAAGAAACTTTCCCAAGCTTACTTAGTGAGTAAGTTTCAGAATTAAATTTGAACTCAAATAGCCTTACTTGTCAATCTTCTCTCTTAGAAACCACATTGCCCAGGTTTCTTCAAGGTTATTTCTATCATTTATAGCCCTATAACTATGAGCAGAATTAGCCATCTCCAAATTAGAAAGCATCTCATGTTTTAAATTGATTTTTCTTATAGTGCTCTTTGTTTTCTAAAGACCATGAATTATATCAAGTCATGTCAACTGAGCAGAATCAAAATGGAAACCTGAATCTCTTTCTCCAGCTTGTTCCCAAGTTCAAGCATAAACAGTAGGTATTAAGAGAAAAATCAAGAGAGGACAAATAGTCTCTATATAGACTGTTGGGTCTCACCATTACCTTCATTGAATTGAAGATGTCCTCCATTCCTGATGTCTGGTTTACCAGTTCAGACACCCAGCCAAATTTCTCTCTCATCTGCTCCATTAGATATGTGGTGTCCTCCAAGTGACGCTGGGTCATCTGGAGAACTTGGGCATATTGCTGGTTGGATATGTTGACCAATTGAAGAGCCTCATCTAATTCTGTGTGTAGCTGAGGTACCTCAGGACAGTCTAGCCAAAAAGAAAGTCAAATGGTAAAGAAAGTTAATGGAAACCTGGGGTTCAGTGACATGGGCTTGAATTTCAGCCCTTACACATTCTATTTTGTCCTTTGCTCATGAGAATTTCCAGGTTATGCCTGTGGTTCTGGAGTATTTACTAACATTGCCTACATCAGTTTCAAAAGAGATCTAGTCTAATCATTAGTTACATGGTTTTATGTAACAGAAACTAGATTGGAGACAGAACTTGTAAATTCCACATGGCTATTACCTATACCAAGAAAAATAAAATGACCAAAACAGATGAAGTCCTATCTATTACCCTTCCACATCATAATCTATGTGTCCCCTCAAAAGGTAACTGCTATTGTGAATTTGGATATTGTATCCAAGGGGACTTAAACAAGTTCATAGAGGGGCCAGCAGGCGATGTGGTGTTTAAGGTGCTGGACTTCCACATGGCCGCTTATAGTTTGCATCCTGCACCTGGTGGCTTAAAAATTACGTGGGGCACATGCAGGCATGCCCAAAATCCCAAGAGGAGAATGGAAGAGAAGGAACTGTGGTGTGGCCATCCCCCATGGGTGGTGAGAAATCTCACTCTCCCTCTCTCTGTATCTCCCTGACTCTCTCCTCTCCAGCAAGTGTATGTGCCCTATGGCAAAAACTTTAAAAGAGAAGTAGAAAAATGAAATTAAAGTATGAGTTGGTTATGGTGCAAAAAATTTGAAATCCATGCATACTTATTTCACAGTATGTATTTTCTATGAACTTTTTTGAAGTCTCTTTGTATATGTCCACTAGTAGTAACCAATATGGAAAAGAGAAAAAGAACCACTTATAATGAATTCACTTAAAATTGGGGAAAAATCATTTGTGTTGTTTTAAAAAATACTTTATTTGCCTTATGATTATCAAAATTAGGTTACTATTCTACTTGTGTACTTAATCTTAGAACAAAGAATGAATCAAATGTTGATTGAAGAGGCAAAATTATTGCTTGATAACATGTATGAGAATTATTTGAAATAGCAAAACCTTGGATATGCCTTGAATGCATTTCAGGTAAAGAATGAATAAATAAATTGTGATATGCCTACACAGACCAACATAAAACAATGAATTAGAATATGTATTCACATAGCTAAATCTCACAAACTACACAAGTGAAAACCAAGTTGCAAAATAATATGTAGCCAATAATATTTATATCGTTAAGAAAAATTATCCAGAACTTGGAAGTCAGGCAATGGTTGCATGTCTTTCCAATGCTATGCTGAAGCATTGTTTAAGAGGTCCACCCAAAGATCACTTTATTCTCCAGGGAAATAGCCTTTTGTTGGATTTACTATTTACTGTTGATTAGGGCCAGATTCTTTGAGGTTAGATGTAAATTATGGATTGAAAATTGTAAGTTATTTTTGTCCAATGGAGATGTAAATTGTTTTGACAGAAAGGATAATAGCAAAGAAAAAATCATAAATACCAAATTCAAAATAGCAGTTTCTTTTTGAGGGTGTGAAGCAGTATGGCATGGAAGGGGTTGGAGTGAAGCTTCATCTGCTTCTGTAATGTTTTATTTCATAATCTGAGTGGTAGACACATGGGTTTTTACTATATCATTCTTTGTATATTTATGATAAAATGCATGCTACAAGTTTTAAATGTTGTGGGACCATGTTAGAATAGCCTTTCTTTTCTTTATATTTTACCATTTACCACAACCAACTTACAATGCGTTTATGCTGTTTTCTGATGTAGATTGTATCCATTAACTGATATATACTGATTATATTATGTATTTTGTACTATGTGTGTGTGTTATAAAAACATCTTTTTGGGAACCAGCAGTTAGTGTAATGGCTATGTCGCTGGACTCCCACGTAGTCGACCGTGGTTCGCGTCCTGGACCTGGTGGCTTAAAACTCACGCTGGGCGCGTGTGCGTGCGTGCCCATGATCCCGAGAGGAGAATGGAGGAGAAGGGATTGCGGCGTGACCATCCCCCCTGGGGGGTGATTTCTCGCTTTCTGTCTCTCTGTCTCTCTCTGTCT